TTGTTCTATCTAGGCTGGAATATTGCTGCACACTAACAGCACCTTTCAAGGCAGGTGAAATTGCCGACCTAGAAAATGTACAGAGAACTTTCACGGCGCGCATAACGGAGATAAAACACCTCAATTACTGGGAGCGCTTGAGGTTCCTAAACCTGTATTCCCTGGAACGCAGGAGGGAGAGATACATGATTATATACACCTGGAAAATCCTAGAGGGACTAGTACCGAACTTGCACACGAAAATCACTCATTACGAAAGCAAAAGACTTGGCAGACGATGCACCATCCCCCCCAATGAAAAGCAAGGGTGTCACTAGCACGTTAAGAGACCATACAATAAGTGTCAGGGGCCCGAGACTGTTCAACTGCCTCCCAGCACACATAAGGGGGATTACCAACAGACCCCTGGCAGTCTTCAAGCTGGCACTGGACAAGCACCTAAAGTCAGTTCCGGATCAGCCGGGCTGTGGCTCGTATGTTGGTTTGCGTGCAGCCAGCAGCAACAGCCTGGTTGATCAGGCTCTGATCCACCAGGAGGCCTGGTCTCAGACCGGGCCGCGGGGGCGTTGACCCCCGGAACTCTCTCCAGGTAAACTCCAGGTAAACAGGTAACCTTTAATCCAGCGGAGAAGCCATCCTCCAACATCCATTCTGGCAAGTTCACTAATGATTACATGTCTGTTGGCTACATCAAAAGCGGATTTAAGCCTAGAAGGTGAGGTGCTCCAGCGTAGCCTGGCAGCCTAGCGAGGTGAGGCTGCAGTGCGGTTCAACGCACCGGCCTGAGGTGCATGGGTGAGGTTTGGTGGCGCAGCACAACCTCCTAGATGGGCAAAGGTGAGGTTAATAAGGTGCTGTATTGCAGCACAACAGCCTAACAGGTCAAGGTTGATGTTCGATATGCAGTGATGCAGAAGTCTGGCGGAAAGCTAGTGAGGTGCGGCAGTACAGCACAGCAGCCTGAAGGGTGAGGCACTGCACAGAACAGTGAGGCTCCTGAGGTGCTTCAGTGTAGCAACGCTCGGAGGCACTTGAGGTGCGTCACTGCACACAGCAGACTCACGAGGTGCGAAGTAGCAGCACAAGTACGGTGCGGCAGTGCAGCACAAGTGAGGTGCGGCAGTGCAGCACAGCAATCAGGTGCGGAAGTGCATCACAGCAGCGAGGTGAGGCAGTTCACCACAGCATTGAGGCTTGTGAGGTGCGGCAATGAACACAGCAGTGAGGCACCTGAGGTGTAGCAGCACTGCAGTGATGCTTGTGAGGTGCAGCAGTGCATACAGCAGCCTGGCAGGAAGAGGTTCGTGAGGTGTGGCAGTGCAGCACAACAGTGCGGGTCGTGAGGTGAGGCAGTGCAGCAGAGCAGTAGGGTGAGGCAGTGCAGCACAGCAGTGAGGTGAGGCAGTGCAACACAGCAGTGACGTGCGGCAGTGCATCATAGCAGTGAGGCTCTTGAGGTGTAGCAGTGCACACAAGTGAGGCTCGTGAGGTGGAGCACAGCAGTGAAGCGTTGTGAGGTGCAGCACAACAGTAAGGCTGGAGAGGTGTGGCACAGCAGCGAGGCTCATGTGACCCAGTCTGAAAATCAATTTAAGACTCTTCTCAAAAGCCACTTAATCACCCTAGACTAAATGCTAAATACTCAGTACACATTTACTCACCTATGTACTCCCACATCATAACTGAAACAATCACATTGAACCTTTCATCCATTGTTGACACGAATATAATTGAATCATTGTTTCACAAAAAGCATTTTCGAATATAAATATATCTTTGTATTATACAAATTTTGATTTATTTATAATTAATATTCTACTGTACAACTATGAAATAATTACTAACCTGCTGTACAACTATGATATACTCCTTAGTATTAAGTATTATTATTATTATTACAATCAAGGGGGAAGCGCTAAACCCGGAGGATTATACAGCGCCTGGGGGGGGGATGTGGAAGGCATTCAGGCTTAATTTGGGGAACTGGAGCACAGATCCAATTCCCTAAATCAAGAGCCCCTCACCAACATCAAGGAACCTTCCTTGAGGGGTTAGTATTAAGTAGACTAAGCCAATAATGTTAAGTTGGCCCATAATGCCTAGCCATAATGGAGGCTCTCTTTGTATTGCAACCCACTATTGTAATGTTTGCAAAGACATAAAATGAATAAGTAAATAAATAAATAAATAAATAAATAAATAAATTTATAACAGTAGTGAGTCTCATGTGAGGCGCAGCATAGCAGTGAGTTCGTGAGGTGCAACACAGCAGTGAGGCTGGTGAGGTGAAGCACAGCAGTGAGGCTGGTGAGGTGGAGCACAGCAGTGAGGCTGGTGAGGTGGAGCACAGCAGTGAGGCTGGTGAGGTGGAGCACAGCAGTGAGGCTGGTGAGGTGCAGCACAGCAGTGAGGCTGGTGAGGTGGAGCACAGCAGTGAGGCTGGTGAGGTGGAGCACAGCAGTGAGGCTGGTGAGGTGCAACACAGCAGTGAGTTCGTGAGATGCAACACAGCAGTGAGGCTGGTGAGGTGCAGCACAGCAGTGAGGCTGGTGAGGTGCATCACAGCAGTGAGGCTGGTGAGGCGCACCACAGCAGTGAGGCTGGTGAGGTGCAGCACAGTAGTGAGGCTGGTGAGGTGCAGCAGAGCAGTGAGGCTGGTGAGGTGCAGCAGAGCAGTGAGGCTGGTGAGGTGCAGCACAGCAGTGAAGCTGATGAGGTGCAGCACAGTAGTGAGGCTGGTGAGGTGCAGCACAGTAGTGAGGCTGGTGAGGTGCAGCAGTAGTGAGGCTGGTGAGGTGCAGCACTGCAGTGAGATTGGTGAGGTGCAGCACAGCAGTGAGGCTAGTGAGGTGCAGCAGAGCATTGAGGCTGGTGAGTTGCAGCTCAGTAGTGAGGCTGGTGAGGTGCAGCAGAGCAGTGAGGCTGGTGAGGTGCAGCAGAGCAGTGAGGCTGGTAAGGTGCAGCACAGTAGTGAGGCTGGTAAGGTGCAGCACAGCAGTGAGGCTGGTGAGGTGCAGCACAGTAGTGAGGCTGGTGAGGTGCAGCACAGTAATGAGGCTGGTGAGGTGCAGCACAGCAGTGAGGCTGGTGAGGTGCAGCACAGCAGTGAGGCTGGTAAGGTGCAGCACAGCAGTGAGGCTGGTGAGGTGCAGCACAGCAGTGAGGCTGGTGATGTGCAGCACAGCAGTGAGGCTGGTGATGTGCAGCACAGCAGTGAGGCTGGTGATGTGCAGCACAGCAGTGAGGCTGGTGAGGTGAAACACAGCAGTGAGGCTGGTGAGGTGCAGCACAGCAGTGAGGCTGGTGATGTGCAGCACAGCAGTGAGGCTGGTGATGTGCAGCACAGCAGTGAGGCTGGTGAGGTGCAGCACAGTAGTGAGGCTGGTGAGGTGCAGCAGAGCAGTGAGGCTGGTGAGGTGCAGCACAGTAGTGAGGCTGGTGAGGTGCAGCACAGTAGTGAGGCTGGTGAGGTGCAGCACAGTAGTGAGGCTGGTGAGGTGCAGCACTGCAGTGAGATTGGTGAGGTGCAGCACAGCAGTGAGGCTAGTGAGGTGCAGCAGAGCAGTGAGGCTGGTGAGGTGCAGCACAGTAGTGAGACTGGTGAGGTGCAGCACAGCAGTGAGGCTGGTGAGGTGCAGAGCAGTGAGGCTGGTGAGGTGCAGCACAGTAGTGAGGCTGGTGAGGTGCAGCACAGCAGTGAGGCTGGTGAGGTGCAGCACAGCAGTGAGACTGGTGAGGTGCAGCACAGCAGTGAGGCTGGTGAGGTGCAGCTCAGTAGTGAGGCTGGTGAGGTGCAGCACAGCAGCGAGGCTGGTGAGGTGCAGCACAGTAGTGAGGCTGGCGAGGTGCAGCACAGCAGCGAGGCTGGTGAGGTGCAGCAGAGCAGTGAGGCTGGTGAGGTGCAGCAGAGCAGTGAGGCTGGTGAGGTGCAGCAGAGCAGTGAGGCTGGTGAGGTGCAGCAGAGCAGTGAGGCTGGTGAGGTGCAGCACAGTAGTGAGGCTGGTGAGGTGGAGCACAGCAGTGAGGCTGGTGAGGTGCAGCACAGCAGTGAGGCTGGTGATGTGCAGCACAGTAGTGAGGCTGCTGAGGTGCAGCACAACAGTGAGGCTGGTGAGGTGCAGCACAGCAGTGAGGCTGGTGAGGTGCAGCACAGCAGTGAGGCTGGTGAGGTGCAGCACAGCAGTGAGGCTGGTGAGGTGCAGCACAGCAGTGAGGCGCAGCACAGTAGTGAGGCTGGTGAGGTGCAGCACAGCAGTGAGGCTGGTAAGGTGCAGCACAGCAGTGAGGCTGGTAAGGTGCAGCACAGCAGTGAGGCTGGTGAGGTGCAGCACAGCAGTGAGGCTGGTGATGTGCAGAACAGCAGTGAGGCTGGTGATGTGCAGCACAGCAGTGAGGCTGGTGATGTGCAGCATAGCAGTGAGGCTGGTGAGGTGAAACACAGCAGTGAGGCTGGTGAGGTGCAGCACAGCAGTGAGGCTGGTGATGTGCAGCACAGCAGTGAGGCTGGTGATGTGCAGCACAGCAGTGAGGCTGGTGAGGTGCAGCACAGTAGTGAGGCTGGTGAGGTGCAGCAGAGCAGTGAGGCTGGTGAGGTGCAGCACAGTAGTGAGGCTGGTGAGGTGCAGCAGAGCAGTGAGGCTGGTGAGGTGCAGCAGAGCAGTGAGGCTGGTGAGGTGCAGCACAGTAGTGAGGCTGGTGAGGTGCAGCACAGCAGTGAGGCTGGTGATGTGCAGCACAGCAGTGAGGCTGGTGATGTGCAGCACAGCAGTGAGGCTGGTGATGTGCAGCACAGCAGTGAGGCTGGTGAGGTGCAGCACAGTAGTGAGGCTGGTGAGGTGCAGCACAGCAGCGAGGCTGGTGAGGTGCAGCACAGTAGTGAGGCTGGTGAGGTGCAGCAGAGCAGTGAGGCTGGTGAGGTGCAGCACAGCAGTGAGGCTGGTGAGGTGCAGCACAGCAGCAGCAGACTGCTAGAGATGGACCAATCAGCAGTATGGTTGGGATCATCCCTGGGCTGTGATTGGCCAGTTGCCGCGCCAGTCACAACAAGGTTAGTCATCACCTGTAGCACGTAAACAAAGATGGACGAAGAACTGGTGAGTACTTATTTATTAAGTTACTGTGTTATTAAGTCTAAGTGAGGGGGAGTGTACAGCCTCCAGCCGCACCTCACATACCCTCCTGCACCTCACCTTATGATAACTTCTTGACTAACTTCTGTTATTAGTTATCGTAAAGGTTTTTTGTACCTCGGGGTTAGTTATCTCCTCTGCTCTCTGAGTTCTAGTAATTATCATACTGCCTTTGTTACGCAATTATGACTCTTAAGTGTTTCTAGTAGAGGTACACAGTGTATTACTCATATTTTACCTATTCTGAACTTTTTTCTTTTTACCTGTGTGTTAGTCTGCGTTGTAATAAGTTTTTTTTTTTTTTAGGCAATGTTATATATAAGTACAATAATGATACAAAATGTAGATTACCTAGGATAACCCACCAGGAAAGTCAGTGAGTTTTTTCCATGGGGGTTCTTGATTTCTGTTGAGGACCTTTGTTTACATTGACGACCTTTATTTACATTGAGGTCCTTGATTTCCATTGAGGCTCAATCTTTATGTAATTAATACTTAATGATGCAGTTTTAAGGTTTGTGTGGCTGTTATAATGTTTGTCACTCAGTTATTTCTGTTCTTCAAGTATTTTGCTTTTGTTTTATGATATAACCTGTCGAGGATAGATGACAGTAGAGGATAGATGACAGTCGAGGATAGATGACAGTCGAGGATAGATGACAGTAGAGGATAGATGACAGTAGAGGATAGATGACAGTCGAGGATAGATGACAGTAGAGGATAGATGACAGTAGAGGATAGATGATAGTAGAGGATAGATGACAGTAGAGGATAGATGACAGTCGAGGATAGATGACAGTAGAGGATAGATGACAGTCGAGGATAGATGACAGTCGAGGATAGATGACAGTCGAGGATAGATAATAGTTCTAGTGTGTGAACTTTGTTACTCTAGAATATCATCAGGTTTTGTTTTCAGTGATGAGCAACTAACAAATCCTCTACTAACATGTCTAGTATAACATTGCTTATATATATCCTTAATGTACATGAACAAGGACTCCAGTGGAAATAATTCACTTAAACTTTTTTTTTTATCCAGGTAATTTACATGTACCTGTGCCATTAACATTAATATCCCCAAAATTCCTGGATAAGTCAATAATATTTTAATTGGGATTATTAACCTTGAATGGTTACTAGACCAGGATAAGCTAATGTAGCCACTGTGTGTGACTTATTTGCTTTTTTTTTTAAGTATTTTTCCCTATAATTCAACCCACATGAGTGTTAATTTTTACACTACCTATACAGTGGACCCCCAGTTTACGATATTATTTCATTCCAGAAGTATGTTCAGGTGCCATTACTGAACGAATTTGTTCCTGTAAGGAATATTGTGAATTAGATTAGTCCATTTCAAACCCCCAAACATACACGTACAAACGCACTTACGTAAATACACTTACATAATTGGTCGCATTGGGAGGTGATCGTAAAGCGGGGGTCCACTGTATTGTTATATCCTCTCATTTGAGTTTATAATGGACACTAGAGTTCTCTTTGTCTTATGAACTTTTAAAACAAGAGGTGAATTTAGCAAACTTCTATTTGCCTTCTGTATACATGCATGTCTTTATTTTCCTAATGTGTTTCTTAATAGATTTTAGTCCTGTAATATTTGCTTTCCATCCTAGGAGTCCCGATCTGAGACCAGCCTCTGCATAACAAGAGGTTTTCCCTTAAGTAATTTATACATAGCAATTATTCCACTATTAATAATAATAATAATAATAATAATGTATATTAAGAATAATATAATATATTAAGAATAATGAAGGAGGGGTGTTAATGTTGCAGTTTAAAAACTGTAGTGTAAAGCACCCTTCTGGCAAGACAGTGATGGAGTGAATGATGGTGAAAGTTTTTCTTTTTCGGGCCACCCTGCCTTGGTGGGAATCGGCCAGTGTGATAATAAAAAAAATAATAAAATATAATTAAGAATAATATAATAATAATACAGTAATCTTTATTTCTACAAGTACATGTACAAGGTATACAGGCCTAGTTGACATCAATAACATACTACTACAGTGGACCCTTGAGTTTCGGCAGCCTTGGCTTTCATGAAATTCGACCTTCGGCGAGTTTTTTTGGCAAAATTTGGCCTCGAGTTTCGTGATTAGACTCGTGTTTCGGCGACCGTCCGGTACCCGTCCGCCCATCACCACGCACACCAAGCCAGTCTCCCACGGCATTCGCGCTCAGTGTGCCATTGTTTACCAACACATGACCATCACCCCGTGGGTTCATACAATACATTTCATAATAATCCATTGTTTTTTGTGCTTGCAACTGCTAAATAAGTCATCATAGACCCAAGGAAAGCTAGTGCAAGCCCTTTGGTAAATAAAGTGAGGAACACGATCCAGAGGGATTTTGAAGGGTTTGAGGCAGACCCTGTCCCTGCCGACCCTCTGCCTGTTGTGGAAGGTGTTGTGGCATTGGGCAAGTCCATGGGGTTGGAGGTGAGTGACAGGGATGTGGAAGAGTTGGTGGAGGACCACAGGGAAGAGCTAACCACTGACGAACTGCAAGAGCTTCAACTGGAACAGCATCAGGCCACAGCCGAGGAACTTGCTTCAGAGGAGGAGGAAAAGAGAGTGAAGGAGGTTCCTTCTTCAGTGATTAAGGACATGTGTGGAATGTGGAATGAGTTGCAAAGTTTTGTTGAAAAGCATCACCCTGACCAAGCTGAAACAAGCCATATCTGCAACATGTACAATGACAGTGTTGTGTCCCACTTCAGGGAAATCTGAAAGAAACGCCAGAAAAAGACCTCTCTGGACAGATATTTTGTGCGACAGGGGTCCAGTGACTCTCAAGTTGTTCCCAGTGGCATTAAAAGAAGAAGGAAAGTAACCCCAGATAAGGACTTGCTACCTAAAGTCCTAATGGAAGGAGATTCTCCTTCCAAACAATAGTGTACACCTTCCTCCTGTCCCCTCCTCCTGTCTTCCATCCACCCAGAAGTCTTCAGTAAAGGTAAGTGTAATGTTATTATTGTTTTTTATATGCATTTACTTGATTTCTAATTGATTTCAGTATATAAATCTTTATTTAATTTGAAAAAAAAAAAATTATTTTAATATTTTTGGGTGTCTGGAAGGGATTAATTTTATTTCCATTATTTCTTACGGGGAAAATGGTTTCGAGTTTCGTGAATTTCGACTTTCGGCAGGCTCTCTGGAACGGATTAATCACGAAACTCGGAGGTCCACTTTATATAGAAAACCCCTTGTTTTGCAGAGCATTGTAGGCAAATTATGTCAATTTTGCCCCCAGGATGCAACCCACACCAGTCAACTAACACCCAGGAACCTATTTTACTGATAGGTGAACAAGGACAGCAGGTGTCTTAAAACATGTCCTAATGTTTCCACCCATACCAAGGATCGACCCCTGAACCTCAGTGTGTGAGCTGAGTATGTTAGTGATTGAGCTACTGTATACTACTATGTCCCACTTTTTATAAATAAACTTGTTTACTTGTTAGGCTTATGTCAGATTATATAGTATGTAACTTGTTAACCTAAGAGAGCCCAATAGAGTCGAACAGTAACCAATAAATACTTCTAGTACTACTACAAATAATTATTATTTCAGCATGATACAATGTTTGTACAGAGATGGGTGACATTTAGGTGTGTATGCAGGAAACCCATTGTTATGCAGAGCATTTTGGGCAAACTTAATCCTAACTTAAGACTACAATGGCAATATCTAATTCAGTGCTTACATATACAGATTCTAAAGGTGCATAAACAATAAATTTAAGAATTACAAGGAGAACAAACAAGCAGTAAATTGTTACCTAAGGTTGAATTATGATTACAGTTAACAAGAATAAGAATACTATACAGGTCCTCCATCACAAATCCGGCATCATTGGGACCTGTAGTGTGCCGGATTACTGAGTTTGCTGAATTACAGAGTGGTTAGGTTAGAATACACTTAATAAAATGAACCAACTTGACTTACACTGTTCATTGAACATCGGCAAAAATCAAGCATTTCTGCTACTTTAAGCTCAATATCAGGGTACTTTTCATCATGAAAGCAATCAAAATCATAGCTATTTCTGTAATATATCTTCCATTCTATCAAATGAGTCCAAAAAAATGAGAATACAACCATAAAAACCATACGAAAATATACTGCAAAGAGGCGGCTAATGGCTGAGAAGTGAACTTCCTTATTTATCGTCCGTCTTTTTTATTTTTGTTGTACGTTAAGAAGCATCTTTCCATCATACATTGCCCAAGTTTCAATGAGATAGCCCAACAAACAACCGAGAAAAAAAATATTTACCAAAAATCATATATGGCAAGCCCAAGACAGGTACTGGAAATAAGTCACTTTGTCTGACTTTTTTGGGTTATCCCAGGTTCTCTATACATACGCTGCTATGTGTGATAATCTATGTAACTGTATTTGTGTATACCTTAATACACTTATTTACTTCTGGTCTGTCAGCTGAGTACAAGAAACCACCCATTCACTTATTTCAACTACCCAATAAAGTGGTCAGAAATTGGCAATTTGGCCAGTTTCACACAAATTTCAACAGATGCCAACTTCAAAATAGGATCCAGAATAAACAATGCAGACATTCCTGGCACTAAAATAACATTTTCTCTGTTCATTAGTCATGGTTACAGGCCCCTCTTATATTACTCTTGCTTTTCATTTGGAATTTTTATTCACAAAAAAATAGAAGATTTACTGTTATGCAGACTGCTGCATTATTGTAATAATTGTATAAATAATGTCAAGCCATTCTTGACTCCGTACTGGAATTTGGACTGGCAGGCAGACAGGTATTGGACGGTGACATCATTTGTTTACTCTTGAGCTTCGCTAAAGAATAGAACATTTTCGCTACTGTGAGCGCAATTTCAAGGTATCAAAATCATATCTATTTCTGTAATATATCTTTCATTCTATCAAATGAGACCGAAAAA